GCCATTGAATTATACACTTTGTATGGTGAATTGCATGGTTTGTTAATTCTATCTCAATAAACTTGTTACCAAATGATGACCTTTCTACACTGGTTGGCTGTGAAGGAGAGTCAGGATCTCTGAAGATTTGGTCTGATGACACGAAGTGTGAACTTCCTTGTGCTTTTTACAAAGTGCTTACCTTCGTGCATAGCTGAAAAAAAACACCTCCCCCCCAAATGTTACAGGGGGTCTCTCTAGGTGGTGGGATTTTGATGTGTGCTTTTTAAGTTATTTATTTTAGAAAGAGAGGAAGTGGGGAGAGAGTAACATGGATTTGTTGTTCCACTTATTTCCAGATTCATTAATTCTTTTTTTCAAAATGTTTTTTTTATTTTATTTCAGAGAGAAAGGGAGAGGAAGAGAGGGAAAGAGACATCAATGATGAGAGAGAACCACTGATCCACTGCCTCCCACAAGTCCCACACTGGGGATCAAGCCTGCAACCCGGGCATGTGCTCTGATTGGGAATCAAACTGTGACCTCCTGGTTCACAGGTTGACACTCAGTCACTGAGCCACACCAACCACACCAGGGCAAATATGCCCTGACCAAGGATGGAACCCAAAAACCTTGGCAGATTGGGACAATATTCTGACCAACTGAGCTAGCTGGTTAGGGCTGGGTTATGGATTTTTAAAAATACAATTTTCCATATTTTCTGAATGTTTTATAATCAGCATGTGATGTTTTAATTAGAATTAAAAAAACAATATACTTAGACATCTACATCATTTAAAAAAATATTATAAATGGTTATTAATCAATATATATATATATATATGCCAAGCAACCCAAAAGATGAAACAACTGAAATGACCAGAAGACCGGTTGCTGTGATGTGCACTGTGGTGGCCAACCAGCCCTAATCGGGGCCTGATTAACCCCTCCAACCTTCCTCAGCCCTTCCTCCTGGTCAGCCAACACCCCATCAGGTCCCCACCCCCTCAATTGGGGTTGGGGCCAGCAGGCCAACTGCCTGTGGCCCTTCTCCCCAACCCCACTGGCCTGGGCCTGATGGCCCCCATTGGGGCCAGCTGGACCCCACCTATGCGTGAATTCATGCACTGGGCCTCCAGTCTACCTAATAAAAGAGTAACATGCTGGCAGCCAGGCCTGAGGCGGAGGCAGCCAAGCCCAGGGTGGCCAGTCCAGGAACACCCAGACCCAGAGTGGCCGGGCCCAGAGAAGCTGGGCCCAGAGCAGCCGGGGTGGGAGCAGCCAGACCCAGAACAGCAGTAGCCAAGCCCAGAGCATCCAGGTCGGGAGTGGCCAGGCCCAGAGCAGCGGCTGCCAGGCTGGGAGCGGCCAGGCCCGGGGGAGCAGCCGGGTCGGGTGCGGCCAGACCCGGAGCAGCGGCTGCCAGGCTGGGAGCGGCCAGGCCCGGGGGAGCAGCCGGGTCGGGTGCGGCCAGACCCGGAGCAGCGGCTGCCAGGCTGGGAGCGGCCAGGCCCGGGGGAGCAGCCAGGTCGGGTGCGGCTGGGCCTGGAGCAGCGGCTGCCAGGCTGGGAGTGGCCAGGCCCGGAGCAGCCGGGTCAGGTGCGACCAGGCCCGGAGCAGCAGCAGCCAAGTCCAGAGCAACTAGGTAGGGAGCGGCAGTGACCAAACCTGGAGCAGCTTATTGTGGAATGAACCAGAACAACAGAGGCCAGGCCCTGAGCAGTCAGGCCCGGAACAGCTCACTCCTCGCCTGCCCCTGCCCCACGGCTGCCTCTCAGACATGGCTGGAAACTTTCGTGGGAACTTGAGGGTCTGCTGAATCAAGTGATGAAGGCTTAGATCTGGATGTGTTGAGTTAGTATAGGGATGGGGTGTTGATCTGTGAGTGCCTTGGGTGGGGCCTGGATGAGGCTAGTTGACCTATTGGGAAATGTCTTTTGTGTGAAGTGTATCATTGGGCAAGTGGAGGTATTATTGATATGAGAAAATGCTAAGTAACTGATTTACTATCTGAAAAGGGATTTACTATCGGGGAAAGGGAGGGAAGAAGAGACTGAACATAAACTGTGCACCTATGGATGAGGACAATGGGGGATGGGGAGGGGGCGCAGGGTGGGGTGGGAACCTGGTGGAGGGGGGAAGAAATGAGGAACCTTTGTAATAATATGAACGATAAAGATTGATTTAAAAAAAATAAAAAAATAAAAGAGTAACATGCTAATTGACCATACCTTTGTAACACCCACCAGCCAATCAGGAGTGATTATGCAAATTAACCCAATAAAGATAGAGGTATGGGAAGCTCCCGGCCAGAGCAAAAGTGGTGCCTGCAGCAAGGGGAAGGAAGGCCCATTCTTGCACGAATCTTTGTGCACAGGGTCTCTAGTAGATGATAGATAGATAGATAGATAGATAGATAGATAGATAGATAGATAACTACTCCATATATCTTCATAAACTTATGCAAGCTGGAATGGGGATAGTGACCAAGACCTAGATTACAATGTTGCTTAAAGTCAAAACTGCTCTGAACCTTTGGGAACAGAGGATATAACGGTAACAGTGTTAGAGAGGAACAGAGAGAGTGAGGCCTGATTCTGCTCCAGCCCAGGGACAGGTGAAGGTAGAAGCCCTCCATTCCAGCCCCTCCCACTGTCTGGGTTGAGCTCAAGAAATGAAAACAAGTCACATAATTAGAAACACTGCCTTGTTTGAACATAAGGGTTCAATAACAATTTTCATTGTCTACAATAATGACTTTTTAATACTAGTGCTCTCATAGAAGCAGAAAAGACTACCCTGTTTCCCCGAAAATAAGACAGTGTCTTATATTAATTTTTTCTCCCAAAGTTGCACTAGGTCTTATTTTCAGGGGATGTCTTATCTTTCCATGCGCTAGGTCTTATTTTTGGAGGATATCTTATTTTCGGGGAAACACGGTAGGTTAGGTTCATGCCAGGCTGGCATCATGAGCTGGGTAAATACACCCGCAGCACAACCAGGCAGGAAAACCAGGCCCTGGCTGGAGTTCTCAGTGGTTAGAGTCTCAGACCTCAAACCACAGGGTCAAGGGTTCTATTCCTGGTTAAGGACACATACCTAGGTTGCAGGTTCAGTCTCCAGCCTGGGTCACGTTGTGTGCGAGGCAACCAATGGAGACGCATTGATGTTTCTCTCCTCCCCCTCCCATCCCTCTAAAATCAATGGGAAAAATTACCAAGCCAATGAATGGCAAATGTCTTTACATGGTGCTTCTCAAATTTCCTACAATTTCCTTCACTTCTTACAGTTAAGAGTGTGGGCACAGCCACTGTCAGCTTTCCTTTTCCTTGAAGTCTCCTGTTTCATCATTCCCAATTCACATGAACCTCATCCCCAAAATACATGAGCTCTGGGAAAAACGGGTACATCGAAGGACGCTTCCGGCTGTTTTTAACCCTTAGCCTAGATTCTTCAGGTGCGCGGGTGGAGGGCGCCTTGGCTGGGACATCTGGTATTTAGAGCACAAACTCCCCACCACCACCCCACCTCCACCCCCCCTCTCTCATCCGGGGACAGAAGACCACAAACTCTTTATTGCAATAAAACGTCTTAAATAACCTGATCTTGCTCAACCAGACATGGGTGTTCAATTGGCCCGGGACTGCCTTCCTATTGCACAGCGAGGCTCACGTGGCAACCAGGACTCAAAACCAGGCGCACCCACAAGGTCAAAGGGATTTTCTCTTTTCCAAAGGGGTACTGGCAGTCTGCATTCCGAGGTGAGGAAAGACCAGTGGAGACCGGGAGCAATTACTGCATGAATGAAGTTTCTCCTTTAGGTTTTCAAGAAGGACTTCCCTTCCCCAAAGGCTTCTGAACCAGTCTGGTCGCGCACCTCACTCCGCCCGGAGCGGGCGTGGGGACCCTCCCTCGGCAGCTCGGGGCGGACGCGGAGTCCCGGTCGGAGCACCCTCAGGTGACCCGGCGGGGCAGGACCGCCTGCAGGCGGCCGGGTGGAGGGCAAAGTCAGCAGAAGCTTATGAACCGGCCACGTGTGGGCCAGCGCCAAGGCTCCCTGGGCTGAGCCGGGGGGGCCGGCGGCGGCGCGTTTCCCGCCGCCCGGGACCCGGCGGAGCAGCCTCCGTCCGCGGGCGAGGGACGCGCTGCGTCGGGGTCGGACGAGGGGGCACGCGGCACCCGCGCCCCGCCGCTCCTCGGCGCCCACTCAGCGGCCGTCGGTGCCCCCTGGCCCCGCGCGGCCCCCCAGCCCAGCGCCCGCGCGCGTCGGTCCGCGCTCCGGAGCCGGCGGCCGGCGGTGGCGTGTGCTGACGTCATATGGGCCGCCCGCCCCCGATTGGCCGCGGCCGCCTCACCAGACCGCGAGCGCACCGGCGCGCGGGCGGGGCGGGGCGCGCGGAGGCCACGCCCCCAGGCACGAGCGGGGCGGCGGGCGCCGGATCACGTGACCCGGGCCCCGCCAGCCGCCTTATAAACCGCGCGCTGAGCCGCGGGCCCAACTCCGGGCAGTCCGGCCGGCACATCCAGCGCTTCCTCCTTTGGGACCCCCTCCGTTGGCGAGCCCGCGGGCGGGCGCCCCTCGGCCAGGTACGCGGAGCGCGGCGCGGTCCCGGGAGCGGGGCAGCCGGCCTCCGTCGGGTCTGCGGCTTCGATGCGGACCCCGGTGGGATCTGCTGCACTCCCGACGCCCGTGGGCCCGGCCCCGGCCCCCTCCGCCCGCCAGGACCCCGGTACCTCGTCCTGGGCGGCCTGCGCACGCACGGGGTCTGGGAAACTTTGGGGTACAGGGGCGCGTGCGGGCGGGAACGAGTCGGCGCCGCAGCCCGTGCCCCCCGCCGTTGCCCCCGGTGCGCCCGTCCCCGCGGCTCCCGGGCAGGCAGGGTTCCCCTGATGGGCTGGCGATGAAGGAGAGCACAGCCCCCCGGGTGGGTCTCCCGTTCCTTGGAAATGAACTTGGCCGTGACCCCGCCTTCCCGGACCCCCTTTTCCTTCCAGGAAAGCCCGTCCCACTCCGGTGACTGATGCCCAGACTGGACGACCACTTCTGGAGCTGCTCGTGTGCTCAGGGCGCCAGGCACCGAGGCCGCCCGGCAGCCCGCGCCGGAGGGCTGGCGGCCAAGGTCGGGGAGATGATCACCTCCTCGGTGGCCGGGTCCGCCCGCAGCGCCCCGGACCCCGACCCAGCTCCCGCGCCCCGGGGCCCGGGCGAGGGGGGCTATGCCACCAGCTGGCACCACCACCTGCTGCAGAGGAGCCTGGTGCTCTTCTCCGTCGGGGTGGTCCTCGCCCTCGTGCTCAATCTGCTGCAAGTGCAGAGGAACGTCACCCTGTTCCCCGAGGAGGTGATCGCCACCATCTTCTCCTCCGCCTGGTGGGTCCCTCCCTGTTGTGGGACGGCGGCTGGTGAGTAGAACTTGTTTTGAAGATGTCTGTTTGCTCAGTGCTTTTCGGGCTCTCAGAAGCATTTATTTGAAAATGGAGCCATCCAGAGGGAAAGCATGCCTGCCCCGGGTTGCTGTTTTTAGGGGGAGGAGGGGACATGGAACCCCGAGGCCGCCTCCAGGTGGGAGGAAGCTGATGGAGATGAGGGCGGAGATAAGCGCTGGGCCAGACCTTCCCCTCACTTTGGGGCTCCCGGCCGGACCGTGTTCCGGAGCCAGGCTGTCACCGGGCCAGCTGCCCCGATTGGTCGCCCGCAGAACTGGTGAGCAGAGGCACCTGGCCGCTATTGGCTGCGGGTGCAAACATGCTACACGCCGGGTAACTGAAAACAAACTGTCACGTGGGCAGAGGCGTTGCCAGGGAACCGCCTCCCTACTTCCTTCTGCGGGACAGGCCCTGCCCCAGCCTGTGGGGAAGAGTGACCCCGCTGGGATGTGGGGCCTGTGCACCCAGGTGGGCACCTGTGCCCAGTACTTAACACAGGCTCATCTAAACGGTGGGCAGGCAGGCTGTCTCTGCAGTAGAGTTTTTGGTTAGTTAGCTGGTTGGCTAAGGATGCTGAATCGTTCCCTGCCCAGATGCCTTGGTACTTCTCAGGCACTCAGCATTTGGGAATAAAATTCAGTCAGCCACTTCCTGCAGCCTCAGCTCTGCCCTGTGGAAACAGGGCTGGCCCTTCCTGAGGGCCCCAACGTCTGGCGGGCGGGGCAAACTGGCTGCACAGCCAGGGGAGGAGCGCCCGCTGCGCCTGATGGCTAACCCTGTGCTTCCCCTGCCCAGCTATAGCTCCGTATGACAGTGTGGACACTGAGTCACAGCTTCCACTCCGTGTCCAGGGACACAGCCAGCCTCCCTGGAGTCTGGTCAGCAGACTCATGCTAGCAGGGAGGCAGGAGGCTCAGAGTGGAGGTATGCTTCAGCCAGGACACCTGGGGGTAGAGACACTGGTTTTGGAGCAGGGGAACTATTTTATTTTCCTTTTTTTTTTTTTTTTTTTTTTTTTCTAGAGGGACAATGTTTTCATCTTTGGTCCTGCTTCATTTTTTGAAACCCTTTAAAATTACTCTGCGCTGGCTTAAGTACTAGCTTTAGATGTGAATTCTATTTTCCATACACATTTGGTGCAATAGTTTCTTTGGATCAAAAACTTGATCTTAGCCTGGCTTGCGTGGCTCAGTGGTCGAGCGTCCACCTATGAACCACGAGGTCACAGTTCGTTTCCTGTCAGGTCAGGGCACATGCCTGGGTTTCAGGCTTAGCCCCTAGTGCGGGGTGTACAGAGGCAGCCAATCAGTGATTCTCTTTAATCATTGATGTTTCTATCCTTATTTCCTTCTCCCAAGCTCTGAAATCAGGAAAAAGAAATTTTTTTTTAACTTGATCTTAAAAATTAAAGGTCTGCCTTCTTTGTAATGGAAGCTTCAGGAAATTCTAGGAATGAACTGAAAGGAATTCTAGGAATGACTGAAAGGTCCCAGGTTTGATTCCTGACAAGGGCATGTATCTTGGTTGTGGGCACATCCTTAGTAGGGGGTGTGCAGGAGGCAGCTTATTGATGTTTCTCTCTCATTGATGTTTCTCTCTATCCTTCCCTTCCTCTCTGTAAAAAATCAATAAAATATATGTATTTTTTAAAAGGCAAAGTTAAATTATAGTGCAGTAAGCTATAGAGTTTGGAGTTCTGTTTTTCGAAGCTCCAAAATTAGAGCTTGAAATGTAACATGAAATTGAAACTGAAAGTCTTTCACTTTCGAGTTTAGCCAGAACTGTGTTTCCTGTTCTTTGTTCAAGAACCCAGAGCAGTCACCTCTCCTGGAACACAGCGGGGCTCTGCCTGGCCCTCAAGCCGGAGCCAGGTCCTAGGGTGCATCCGCACCAGTCGCCACGTGCCTCACGCCTTCCGCTGGCTTCTCTCCCGGAACCCCATGCCTTCTCCTGGCTTCATTCTACTCGCTCATGCTTTCACATTCTGGGCCTGAAAACTTTCTAGCTGCTCAGATCCCAGGGAGTGGGCTCCTCCTCTGGCTTCCTGTTGGCATAACCTCATTTACACAGGAGGAAGCAAGCAGGAGCTGCCGCCATGCCTGGCCCTGGGCTCCCACCGTGAGGCCCGGCTCCAGGGACAGCTGGTGCCCTCCGTCTCCTGTGGTCAGATCTCCCACCCCTCACCACTAAGCCCAGGCCAGCCTGTGGGCACGGGGCCTCTGACCCTAACGTCAGAGTGAGACCAGCATCAGCGCTGGCCCTGGAGGGGCGTCAGACTACGGCATGACGGGGCCGGGAGGGCTCCGGAGGCCCCTTCTCCTGTAGATGGGAGTCAGGTGGGCGAAGCAGAGCAGGCACAGAGCTCAGGCGTGTGGCTGAGCCTCTGCTTCGCTCACGTCGGCTTAAGTAAATCGAAGACTGGTTTTGCTTTAAACTGACTTTTTTGTTAGTACTCAAGGAGAACAAAAATATAAAATGAGTCTGAATTTCATCAGTACATCGCCGCGGGTCAGTCTCCAGGTGTGTGTTGTCTGAATGCCACGTAGAAAGCCTGTCGTTTGAGGCTGTTATTGGTCATGTGATGTTACTGACGTCATTCCGACTGTTCTCTTCTTGTCTGGCAGCGGTTGTCGGCTTGTTGTACCCCTGCATCGACAGTCACCTCGGGGAGCCCCACAAGTTTAAGCGGGAGTGGGCCAGCGTGATGCGCTGTGTGGCGGTGTTCGTGGGCATCAACCATGCCAGCGCTGTATCCTTCCATGAGCTGCCGTGTTCAGAGCGTTCTCTGTAGTTGTGTGTGGAAGCGTGGTGTTACTGTGGATGAGTGTGTGCTGTCTGAGAGTCTGTGGATGAAGTTTTTCACGTGTTTTATTTAGAGCCTGTAGCTTAGCTTACACTCACCAGGTGTTAGCATGGCCCTGAGTCCTCCAGCATATTTCCCAGGTTATTTCCAGAGACGGTGTAGACCCTGCCTAAGGCAGTGTCTTCCTTCCTGGGAGTCTGTTCTTCCGTCTTTGCATTGTGGTGACCTGGCTTCTGCGGCCCATTGTCCACTGGTGACATGGTCACTGTTGCTGGGCTTCTCCCAGAAGGCCGAGGCGAGGCCTGGCCGGGACCACGGCAGTGTCCGGCGGTCCGCAGGTCCCCGGTGGAGCGTACAACATGGAACATAAGTGCATTTTAGGAGGAAGGTCCATAGTGTCCCAGGGCTCAGAGATTTATGGCTCCTGGAAAGTCTGTTTTCAATCTTAGAGACAGATTTCTCAGAGCTACCAGTTCCTCACTCTGCTCCTCCAGGTGACGTGAGCTGCCACTGAAAGGTGCTAGCTCTAAGATACCTTACTCTGCCCCCGGCCGGCAAGCAGAGCTGTGGGGAGTCAGCTATGCGCTCCGCCCAGGAGTGCGTGATGACGAACGCCATCTGAGGGCCTCACGCAGACGGCGAGGAGAGCGCTCACACTTCAGTTACTGATGAGACAGAAAGGACAGGACTGGAATGACTTACTACCAGAATAGGCTGTGTTGTGGCTGAAATGCAGCAGAATTTTACATACACTTCCAGAAGCTTGCCGGAAGATGAGTTTGTGCCCGTGACCTTGCTCGGGACCCTTGTATCCAGCCACCTTTCTGCAGCTCACGGGGCAGCTGTTGTGGGTGGAGAGTGATGTGCACAAGAAGACAGACACTGGGCTCTGCGGTTTTCTGTGTTTTGATCTTATTAAACCACTAACTTTTCCTTAACTTTCCACCATCAGAAGTTGGATTTTGCCAATAATGTTCAGCTCTCCCTGACTTTAGCGGCCCTGTCCTTGGGCCTTTGGTGGACATTTGACCGTTCGAGAAGCGGCCTTGGGCTCGGGATCACCATCGCCTTCCTCGCCACGCTCATCACCCAGCTGCTGGTGTACAACGGCGTCTACCAGTAAGCACGCGGCGGCAGCCGCCACTGGCCGAGGCCTCCCGTTTGTTTCTGATTTGTTTCTGCGGAGCCACCGGGCACATTCCGGAAGTGCTGCTCGCTGCCCCCCCACAGCGCCCTGTACAGGGAGACCACGCAGGGGCGGGGCGGGCAGTCTGATGTGAACACCGTCCGGGCGGGACTCCCGCGGCCGTGGGCTCAGCCTTTCTCCTTTGCCCGCAGGTACACCTCCCCAGACTTCCTCTACATCCGCTCCTGGCTGCCCTGCATCTTCTTCTCCGGGGGCGTGACGGTTGGGAACATAGGACGACAGCTGGCCATGGTACGTGCATTGTCATTGGCACCTGCCCTGTAGGTCCGCTCCGGAGGACCGCTTTATGGAACGTTTCCTGGGTGTTGACAAATGTCTTCCTGAGACTCAGCGGCAACAGTTATTGAGAAAAGCGTATTTTTTTTTTTTTAAAAGCCCAGCTAGTTCTTTGCTCAGTCACAAGGGTGCCTATACCCGAGAGCACGGCGCAGGCCTGGGGTCGCAGGGCTCCTGACCTCCTGCAGCCCAGTGCCTGCGGCCAGGCGCAGAGACCGCGCCGAGGCCAGCAGAGGGTGGTTTGCTGGGAGTGTCCTGGTGCGGATGACGTGGGGAAAGGGCAGCAGGGCAGGCGGAGCCCGAGGCCGAGGCTGCCCACCTGCAGGTGCCAGGTCGGGCCGGCCCAGCGTCACGGGAGGTGGCCCGCCTGGCACAGCTGTCCTTCCTGTAAGAGGAAGAAGCCAGTCCCCTTGGCACCACTGTGAGAGCCAGCAGGAAGCGCAGTCAGGGTCACTGTGCAGTGCCCGGTGGTTAGAATCAGTGTCTGAACACTTGTTGCAAAGACGCTTCAGTGTGGACATTAAGCTGGAGTCTCAGTCGGCCCATTGCTCTCAGGCAGACAAGAGGCTGTCTCAGCACATTGCTCTCGGCCCCTCGTGGTCTCAAACATGACCTCTCGGTGCTGGCTGGGGCCCTGCCTTTGGTTTCCCTCCCACCCCCAAAGGCCTGTGAGTCCTCTGAAAGCTGCTCCCTCCTCACGGGAAAGCACAGCCCCGCTCGCTTTCCCATTCTGGCCTTGGGGCCCAAGTCCCCTCCCCAGGAAGCCCCACCCACGCCAGCAGGAAGGAAGGGTGCGTTTCCTGGGGCCACGGAGAGCCTTTCTGGAATGTGTGCTCCTGCTGCAGCAGGAAGACGCATGCGTGGAGCCAGGCTAGCTTGCACAAGACTCCACTTGGAACGTAGGGAAGTGCTTTTGCTCCAGATTATGTCAGGGCTGAGAATGCAAACCATACTGACAACAAGGGTTGTTAGAAGGTGAGACCCCAGCAGCGACCGTTCCTGTCTCACGGTAGTTTCTTTCGTCACCTTTCGTGTGGGGGGCTTTCCCCGAACCACAGCGGGAGGTGCTGCCTGCTCCCCCGCCAGATCGGGGCCACCGCTGCCCAAAGCCCGGGCCGGCGCCGGTCCTGCCAACCGTAGGCCGTACCCATTCTCTTACGGGCACTCATGGCGGCAGGAGGCCTCGGCTGTGCCACAAAGTGGCCTCGTCAGAAAGAGCGAGTGGAGTTGGGATAATGAGCCTACGCCTCTAGTTTCTTTCTTTGGAGAAATGAAACAAATGAGCAGCTTTCGTACGTCATTGTGTTTGTGAAAATAGGGTCACTCTGGTCGGTGTTTTAGAAACGGGCGTGTCACCGGCTGTGCACTCCCGGTGACACGAGGAACCGGCCTGGCTTGGCGGTGTCTGCCGCGTTCACAGCTGCCGGGTGTGAGCTGTGACCGTGGCGAAGGCGCGGTCTGCGGGTGGAGACCCCAGGTGGGCACCATGCTTAGCATGGCGACCGGGTCTGGCCGAGTCCATGTCACCAGGGGCTCCTGCTGGTGCGTCATCATGGTGATTCTTATCAGTGGCTGCTGCACCCCTGTCCCTGGTTCCCTCCTGTCCTCACCCAGGTGCCCCCTTCCCCAGCCGCCCCCTCCTGTCTTCACTAACGCTGTGGACAGGCTCTGCCACTGAGTGGTCTGCCCACAGGCTGGTGGGTACTCAGGGGTCAGGTCCCAGCAGCTCACTGGGCTACAGAAGGCTGTTCGTGGACCCGCCTCCCTGCTGTGTGAGAGCTGGCCGCCACGCTGTGTGGGCTTCGCCTGGCTGGTACTGCCAGCGGCTTCTGCATGGCACTGTCACCAGCCTGTGTGTTCACAGCCCGTCCTGAGGCTCTTGGAGGTTTGAAACTGTTGCTGTTAGCAGCTTAAAGTTCTTTTACAAAGAAGCCAGGCTTCCAGCTGCCGCGGCCACGGGCCTGTGCCTCCCTCAGGGACTGCTGGCGCCTCCTGGCTGCTTCGTCGTTGGCTGGCAGTCCCTGCGCAGCGGGCACCGGGAGGAGCTGCCCTCCCACTTAAGGCGGAGAGACAGCCACGGGCCCGATGGGTGCAGAGAGGGCGGCGCTGGGCTTGTGGCGAGTGTGCCCTGCGCCTCTGATGGAGGACACGCCGGTCACTCGCCTGTCAGAGGGTCCTGGGCTGGTGGCACGATGGCCGCCCTCTCGCCACTGAACACGCTGTGCTCGGCGGCATGATGTGTGGGCACCCATCTGGGCTGGGCCGACTCCTGCCGGCGGTTCGTGCTCTCTCTCTGGTTCCCAATCTGACGCGTCCCCGCAGACGCGCTCCGAGCCCCGTCCCTCCGAGTGAGCCTTTGTGAGCCCGGCTCCGAGTCCTGTGGCTGAAGCTGCTGCAGACCCTCCTCCTCCTTCTGTCCCCTCATGCTCCCAGGTGGCCATTCCCCAAAGGTCTGCGCCCCCGACGCCCCTTGGGGGATGACACGGACCCGGCATCTCACACATCTGTCTGGGCCGAGGCGTGTCCACTGCCGGCGTTCCTGCTTCCCGTCCATGTCATCACCCCGGGCAGGGGACTCCCCTTCGCCTTCCAGGCCTGCCGATTGCCAGCAGCTCCGTGTGCACGGCTCATTTCACTCACTCTGTCTCTGTTCTCATAGGGCGTCCCCGAGAAGCCACACAGCGACTGAGTCTCCCGCCACTGCCTCGGGGGGGACAGCGGGCGTGGCATTGACACCCAGGCATGGACATGGACGGGACGGCGACAATCTTCCCTCGGGATCGGCACCACGGAGACGGGTGACTCACCCGGGACTCCTGGAAACCGCACGCCCGTGCAGATGAGCAGCTCGCCTGGAGATGCCACCTCAGCTCCCTCACACCTGCCCTGCCCTGCCCTGCAGACCCAGGACCCAGCGGGGGCAGGGGCCCTGGGCGCCATTTCCAGGCGTCCCAGGCTGTTTCATAAAAAGCAAGTTGCCATATTACAAAGCCTTGAACTAAAGCCCAAGTCCTAGCTCTTGGTTTGGGGTCCTGCCACAGTGGAGAGCTTGCAGGTGCTTAACAAAGGCAAGTGTGTTAACATAGGAATGATATTTATCCAAAAGATTTTACAAATAGGGCTGTGTGCAAAGCGCTGCAGCAGGGCCACCTGGTGGTCAGGACAGGGCCATCGCTCTGTGGCGCAGGGGGTCGCGGTGCCCTCGGAGACAGTCACACCGATGGGGGGCAGCTCTGCAGGGGGCGCGTGGATGAAGCCGGTCTGCCCGGGTTTCCACCTCCGTGAGCCGGACTGCTGTGTGCTCGATGCTCCAGCGTCGAGAGGACTTCCCTCGCCCTATGGATCTGCAATCTGTGATTGCCTTGTGAACGACGCGCCCTCCCTGCTCGAACACTGTTTCTGTGCTGAGGTGCGAGCACAGTGCACCCCCCGTGGCCAGGCCACGGGGCCCGGTTTGCAAGCATCGGGTTCTTCACTTCAAGTGCAATGTGTACGAAACCAATCTGAGCCTTGTATTCTCTACATATTTATTTTTTTTAACGAGTGAGATGTTTGAGGTTCTCCATTTCAGCCCTGCATGGAGGCAGGTCAGCAATAATTCCTCCCGGGAAGTCGCTGTTGCCATGCCCGCTTGAGCCTGGCTCCTTTCAGCTCTCCAGTTCTGTGGGTTTCAGTAACTCTTACTTACAATGTATCCTCTTTTGTGTTTTGAAATGTACATGTGTTTGGTTTAGATTCTGGGAAAGCAGCTTGGTTAAAGGCTCCTGGGACGGAAGCCAGCGGCAGCGCTGGGCCCTGGCTGCCGGGACCCTGGTGTCTGGACAAGAGCTCTCACAGTGATGCTGAGTTCCTGTGGCTGGATGGTTTGGGGAGAATGTTGTTGAGAAAATGGGATTGTTCTGAACTTTGCAATGAGCCCCTGTACATTCTCTGAAGATGAATGATGAAATATGCAAAGATTTTTTAACAGAGACGCCAGCATTTTGTGAAAACCGGAAGTCGTTATCTGAAAGCAGTCATCGAATCTAAATATATTTGATGATGGGCAAACAACTAGTGTTTTTTCCTCTTCAGCTGGAAGTAAATCTGTATCCCTTAGAAATCATGTGGCCAAAAAATGTGAATCTGGTGACTCCCTTTGCCAATACTTCACAGCGAGTACATGAACCAAAGTAACCCAAGTTGGTAGTCACGTGTGTGACCAGCGTGCACGACGCCAGAAGGAGCAGCCGGGAGGTTCTCGTCATACTCATTGTCAGCATTGTGTTCTTTTTGCATTCGTTTTTTTATGTCTATTAAAGGTTCAAAACCAACCATGTATTGATGGGTTTTTCTTCAAAAGGGGAGGTGGTGTTACAATTTGGAATAGACTGAGCTCAGGGAACCAGGACTCCACTGGGAATCCGCCCTCAGGCCCAGGACCTGCCCCTTGGGTGGGAGTGGTGGGGGGCTCCAAAGGGGGCCCTCCGGCCTGGGGCCACTGCTCTTGACACTGATTTTCCAAAAAGCAGCCCTGGGGCCCTCAGAGCCAAGAAGACGCTGAGAACTCCCCAGCCATCATTCGGCATTTAACGCGGCTTTTGTCATGTGCGTTAGGTGGTTGCGTTCCAGTGAGAGCAGAGAAAACCTCCTGTTCACACTGAGCCTCACACATTTCCTAACACAGTGCCTGCGTCTCACACAGTTTCTCCCACTGCACCTGGTGGGGGGGACGGAAGGTCCGGGCCGACCCGCCAGGTGTGTGTGCATCTAAGCTAGCGGTGCCCGCTCTGAGGGTCCGAGTCCGCGTTTTAGAGTGGGAGGGAATGTGTCGTGGGATTTATTTATTTTTTTTGTCTTTGAGCAAGTAATGGGGCAATCACATTCCAATACAGGGAAGGCAGGCCCTGCACAGCCTCCCGGCCTCGTCCCATGTGCAGGCCAAGAAGTGGGGTCTCAGGACGGGCACATGGGGGTTCACCTGGCCGTTCCCAAATCACCAGCGGTCTTACCTGGGGAGCACTCCTGGCAGATTCAAGTCCAGAGTCAGTTATATTTCAGCCACGTGGTGCCCTGCGTCCCCTCCTTGAGTTACAGACATTCCCTTTTATCTTGGAGGAATGGGAAGTCACCAGGCCTAGTCTCTGACACATGGTCTGCAACCCGCCGTGCAGAGGCAGGCAGAGTGTAGGGTCGAGGAGCAGATCCCACTGGCGCCCCAGGAGGCCTGCCCTGAGGGAAGCAGCCACATGGCCATGGAGGCTGCCGGGCTGAGCAGCAGCCCTGAGCCGGGCACAGTCACTCAGACAGTCACTGGGGCGAGGGCGACGGCCCCTGGCTCTGGGGCCAGGGCAGCCTCCATGCCCGCCTCATTGACGTTATTGGAATTTTCTCTTTAGGTGCCGTCAGCAGGTGAGAGATCTCGGAGGACAGGTGTTCACACTGTCCTCTGGGCCAGGGCACCAGGGAGTGAGCACAGGATTCCAGTGAACACCTGGGGTCCGCCGTGCTCAGGCTGCTTGGAAAGGCCAGGGATCATCTGGGCGCCGCCTTTGACATGCCCCTTGGTCTCCCCAAGTTGGAATTCCGATAAACAGGGCGGCGGCCTTCCACACACTCCCCTTTCCTCAGTGTCCTCCCCACGACGTCCCAGCCACGTCTCGTGTGCCCCCATGCAGAGGCCTGGTTCTGAACCCCTCGGTGCTTCCACACCAAGACCAGGGCTTGCCCTGGGGGGCCCAGTTTTCCCGCACAGTGAGCTGGTCAGCACGGGGGGACTTTCCCGGCTGGAGGTGGGGGTACCACACCCTCCTGGCCTGGCTCCCTGGTGCCGCCTCCACTGGCCGCTGCGGGCTGAGCCACAGGGAGTGCGGGTCAGCAGCGCCTCACACCAGCCCGACCTGCTCGCCAGACCTTCCCAGGAGCACGCTTCCGGCCAAGGAGTCATCTTCTCCGGCAGAATGCTACGTTCTCGGCAAGACCCTCCCGACGGCTCCCGACACCTGAGTCGCCTTCCCCATCTCAGTCAGCACGGCCGCAGAGGCCCCGCTGGCCCGAGGAGCGGGAGATCAGGCCCGCCACAGGCTCCACGGGCCAAGAGGAGGAGACACTGACAAGGTCCCCCAAGTTGGCGCCTGGTCTTGCCAGCCTGGGGCAGGTGTCTAACCACGGCCAGCCAGCTCGGGGCTCCCCTCCTGCCCTGCCCGTCACTCCCCAAATCCGCAGCCTGAGGGACACCTCTGAGCAATGGCCAGCACGTCCATGAAGTGACTGAAAGATCAGTTCAAAGTTTCACGTGTCCAACAAATGCAACTCAGGGTGAGGAAAGAGCACCGTCCTTTAGAAATCGGACACAGAAAGCCCGTCTGGTCTCACACCAGCAGAGCCACTGCGTCTCCCGAGTGGCTGTGCACAGGCAGCGTGCAAGGGGCCTGGCACACCTCGGAGAGTCCGTAGAGCGGGTGCCAGGAGGACTCCGGTGCCGGGCAAGTCATTCCTGCCCCGACGGCAGCTGCCCCAGACACACACAGTGGGCCCTCCCACCTCCAGCACCAGAGTGCTTCCCAGGCACTTGTCTGTTGTTTCCCCGTGAGCTTTGCTTTTCTAGGAGTTGTGGCTCCGACAGGTTCCCCTGCTGCCCCCGCCTGGCCTCCGGGTGTCCCAGCTCGGCCCACACTCCTTTCTGGTCCTGCTCAGGGACTGGAATCTAGCCCAGACCGTGCACTGCAGCCTGTCCCGAGGCGGGCATTCTTGCCATATCACGGATAGTTGACTAGGACAGTCAGGACTTGCTGTGGAGTTGATGGCTCTGGATTCCTGCGGATTGGGAAATCCTCTCATGGGGACCCACTCCACTTCCCAGGCAGGAGAGGCGTCGTGGGATGGACTCTGGCCCCTAACCACACGGAAACTAACCCCACGGAGGCCACTTGGTCAACAAGAAGTCTGCTAGTGTTTGCATGATCGCAGTCGGTCAGGTTCAAGCCCACGCACACCAGGTAGAATTTCAATGCTGCTGAGGTCTCTCCATCTATTAGTCGCAGCTCAGAATACCAACAGCTCAGCGGGGCCTCAGGCAGAGGTGCCCTCACAGGCATGGCAGCCAGATCCCGGACCCAGGCCCCACAGCGTCCTCCCCTGAGGCCCAAAGACCTTCCAGGGAAATGAGTGGCCAAGCCTTCCTCCTGCCTTTGAAGAGCCTCAGCCGACCACCCCGTGGAGGCCCTCAGGAGTTGCCCCTGGTTGGGTTTCCTGAGACAGGAAGTGGCTGTATTTTAGAAGAAGAGAGCTCCGATCCAGGAATCTCTCTCCATCCCTCCGGACCCATGCACTCCTCAATCTAGAGGGCACGGACACCTCCCATTTCCGCAACGTGCTCAGTGCTCTTCACCGACGTGCCCGCGCCCCCTGGTGGCCATGGCTGCACCCGCGCCCTCCCCCGGCCGCTTCCTCCTGAGAGAAATGGGAGCCTATAGACACTTCTGTAAAGGCCGCTCTTGGGAGTTGGCAGGCTATTGGCACGCTAAAAAAGCTGCTGCTGGTGCTGCTCTGTCCCCGCCCCGCTGCTCCTGTGCACCAGCCGGCTGGGTGAGGTGCGCACACACTCCGCGGCCCTGCCTCAGTGTCACTCCCCGTCTGGCCTTTGTGAGTTCTACCTTTTCCAGTCAGCAGGTGCATGGCCTGCAAAACTTCCCACAGCGCCCCCTGGAG